TATTCCCGCGTTTTTTTCCTCGTAAAGTCCTAGTAATGTTACTACGACTTTACGAGGAAATTGTTTTCTCGTAAGTATACGAGAACCTTACGAGGAAACCATGTTTCCTCGTAAACTCGAAGTAAACTCGTAGTAATTTTACGAGGAATTATTTTCCTAGTAAAGTTTCCTAGTAAATGCTTAGTTTTCTTGTAGTGATACCTCTTGCTTGAGAATAACCATTTTGAAGGAAAAATCATAGAGCCTATCTCAAAGCTCATCAACCTCAAGCTTCTTGACCTTTCTTTCCTTAACACAAGTTACCCGATTGACATAGGTCTCTTTTCCTCGCTAAAATCTTTGTTGTACCTCGATCTTTCCGATAATCTTATATCTCCGAAAAGTTTAGGTTCAAAGTCAGACTCAGACATATCAAAAATTTTGGAGAATTTGTTGTTACAAGGTTGCGGCATCACTGAGTTTCCAGATATCTTAAAGAAGCTTGAGAAGATGGAGTCTATAGCAGTGACCGACAACAAAATCAAAGGGAAAGTTTAAACCTTGTTTCTATTTAATTATTGTTTCTCGATTGCAAAGCAATAAGGACGGAGAAGAAGAAGAAGAAGAAATAATGTTTAAACCTTGTGAAGGGCTCGTCCAAGTCACTTAGCTTCTTTGGTAGCATAGCCTAGATCTTTTTCTGTATACTTTTTTGCAAGTGACAAGTAAAACTTTCCAGTAAAGCTTTCCATACCTATTATATATATACATATATATATATAGAGAGAGAGAGAGAGAGTGAAGGAAAGGATAGATAGATAGTAGTACCATGGGGCATAAAACTCGACCAAGACATGTTCGGAAGTTGTGCAGTTTTTGTTCAAATATAAAAGTAAGTTATGTTGTTAAGTCATTTATTATGATGTCTGATTTACAAGGTTATTCATGCATGCTCAGTTCGAACCCAATTGATTTTGATTTTGAAAATTGCAAGCAATTTAATCAAAACCCAATTGATTTTGATTTTGAAAATTGCAAGTAAGGTGAATTTTGTGACGTTAATAATTTTTAAGCTAAACGATATAATCCCAGTAACAAATAACGAAAGGTAAGAAGAACAAAGGCAAAAACAAAATATATGTAAAACGTAAATGATGATGATAGTTGACCGACAATGTTATATGGCTCGTTGCTAAAAATGTCAAATCATTATTGAAAAGAGCACACAAGAAACAGAGATGATAAAAAAGGTTGTTTGAGCCCAATCAATCTTGGAGTGTTCCAAGATCTTAACCCATTCTTCATTCTTCCTTCTTCCCATATTTCTCCTCCCACTCAACTTTCTTCTTTTCCACGTGAGCTTTGAACTCAGTCCTATCTTTGCAGTTCTTTTCTAATATCTTTCTTTTCTTCTCATGTTCTCTCGCTAATTTGACAAAGGGTATCGGATCCTCGTTACTTGTCTTTAGTGCCTTTAGTGCCCTCTCTACGTACCCCATCTCCCGTTTTAGTTCCGCCAGAAACTCTTTATATACCTTAAGGTCATTAACGTCCCCAAAGGTGGGCTGGTGATTTCTCATGGCCTTGACGTAGTCGCGGGAATAGGAGAACTTATCCATGGAGATATTGGGGAGCAAGGTTTTAGTACACCATAAAATCAAATAAAATAAATCTTAACTTCAAAAAATATAAAAAACAATCGAGTAAAAAAAATTAAAATACACATATTTTCATAACGAATCAAATAAATCAACATGTTCTTCATTCTTCTTCTAGTTCTTCTTCTTCTTATCCTTCTTCCCATTCTCCCCATTCTCAATATTGATTCAAAATATCTCATTTATCAAAGCGTGTAAAGAAACAAAGCGTGTAGTTGTCTCAATTCTCAATATTATCTCATTTTCAATATTGATCCAAAATATCTCATTTATCAAAGCGTGTAAAGAAACAAAGCGTATAGTATTGAGAATGAGATAGAATACCTCCATACTCCATATATATATACAGAGAGAGACCATCATCATCTAAGCTCAGGAATTAAAAAGGAACAACAACAGAAAACAAAAAAAAAGACTAGTTCGGAAGTTGTGTAGTTTTTGTTCATATATGAATGAAACAAAATGCTTTAAATAACGACCTGGTTGATGAGACTTTTCTGTAAACCTTTATTTAACAAGGTAAAGATCTGCGTTTTACGCATGATGAAATTGTTAAAAATAGTTAGATTTGCTATAATTTTTGTTCATAATTTCCAATAGATATTGTATAGAAAATTTTAAAATATGTTATGTTAATCAAGCATATAGTAGATTTAAAAATTCTTATCCTTCTTCCCATTCTTCCCATTCTCCCCATTCCCATGAACCTCCTCAAACTCAACTGCCTTCTTTTGCCAGAAAGCTTTGAACTCAGCCTTATCTTTACACTCCTTTTCTAATATCTTTATTTTCTTCTTACATTCTCCCGCTAATTTGACAAAGGGTAACGCCGCCTCGGTACCGTTTGTCTTTAGTGCCTTTAGTGCGCTCTTTATATACCCCTTCTCCAGTTTTAGTTCCTCCTAAAGCTCTTTTTTTTACCTTTTGGTCCTCAACCTCCCTATAGGTCAGCTGGTGATTTTTAATGGCCGTGACGTAGTCGTGGACATTGGAGAAGTCTCCCATAGGGATCTCAGGGAAGGGGAGCAAGGTTTTGATCGGTTTGTTGGAGAAACTCCTCATCTGCATCGATGGAGCCGCCATCATCTTCAGCTGCATCATCTTTGAAATAAAGCCTTGGGACAAAGACAAAGACGAGGTAACACGTCCATTTCCTAGTTTTGTCTCGATGCCTCCTTCAAAAGCAACAAAGAGATGTGAGTTTAGGCAAAAGACTTGTTATTGTGTTTCTTATGCAAAGACATGATAGCTGATAGCTTGAAGGTGTATACAGGGGCAAAAGACATGTTCCGTAACATCCTTTACATCTACGATTATGATGATATGGGATATGTGCATGTGGATGACCCCCCCCCCCCCCCCCCNCCCCCCCCCCCCCCTTCAATTTCAGTAGTTTAAGTGGTCCACATCTTGTCCCTTATCATATTCCACCTCACGATATCGAAACTAGTTTTGTAACCCTTTTTTGAAAATTAACCTACCTTTATATCGCAAATAAAAGGATCTTAAATATTTACTATCCACGTTGCATTGTAATCATCAGAAAAAGAATCATGAGATGATGATGATGATGTTCTTTTTTTTCTGTTTTCTTACAAGCTTTAATTCACACGAATCTGTTACTATGCCAGTTGAATTAATCCTCACATAGACAAACTCAGTTCTTGAAAGTTGAAAGTAGAAGTTTTACTAGCATAATTCGGTTTGCATATGCTAGTAATAGTTTTGCAACTAAAATTGTTCACTAGGTCATGATGAATTTACCTTGGCAACAAGAATAAAAATAAGGTAAAAATTTAGAACTTTGAAAAATCAGAGTTACCACTTAAAATTCATCTTTGAGTCGGAGATGTTACGTGCGTGTCTCTTTATAGATAACTCTATAATATCCATCAAATCCTTAAAATGCTTAGATTACTCCCGCAATTCATGAAATGTATACAAAATTACCAAATCATGAAATGATTTATAGTTTCTTACAAAGCAACACCAAGTGAATAGTGTGATATTATGTCTCTGTACATTCTAATGACGGAACCCAACAGTTTTTTGTCCCTGTACATTCTATAATGACGTACAGATTAAGTTGAATCAAATCTATTAATGATAGAACAAGAATGATAGGGGTTTTTCAATAGACCAAAAACAGAGCAACACACTAACACATAGTCCACGTGAAGGGTTTACAAGTAAATTGTGTTTCCTTTTCGATATTGAACAAAACGATATACATAGTATACATTTCATATTTACAAAGCCAGTAGAAGAGTTGCAGAAACTGGTAACAGCTTGTAACACTATGAGACAAAAAAAAAGACCTAAATATTCGAAAGACAAACCCTAACATAAAAAGCTTAACGTGACGTAGAAGCTAAAGCTACTGCTTGTGCCCACATCTTTAGTCTCGCCTTAACCTCCTTTGGATCATCTCCAGGGCTTGAGATACGCCAGTTGGCAATGGGAGAGTTGCTACCACTACTAGTCTGAGTCTCCCGGTTTGACCCGTTGGATACTGAAACCCGACCCGAAACTTGAAGATCGAACCCGAGATCTCTACAAGCCTTCACTTCCTCAAAACCCATCTTCATTGACTTCTTGCCTCCTTTCACCTTGGTTAACACCGTCAACTCTCCTCCTCCGCCGTAACCGTTTCCGTCTCCGTCACTGTCTCTCTCCACGCCGTTGAAACCGTGACCGTACCTTCTTCTTTGCTCAACTAACGTATCAGAGTATACGTTCATCATCACCTCGTTATTATCTTTCTCTAAACAGGTGGAGACGTTGACTTTTCTTCTCCGGCGAGACATGATCGTCGGGAGAGAGTAGAATCCTGTAGATTGCTTATCGGAATCTGAATCTTCATCACCGTCAGAGATTTCTCCATCAGCCTCGGCTCCGACGTCGTCGTCAAAGCTCTCTAGAGACATCTCAGACATGAAGAAGTTACCAAGTTCGGAAGGTTGACTTGTGAAGTTGTCTTCGTCATCGAAGGAGCTCGTGCAGATAGATAGCCTAGACAAACTGCTTTGTCTGGTCTGGTAATGAAACCCATCGTCTGTATCTTCGTACTCTTCGTCTTGAACCGATGAAGAATTGATCACCATGCTCTCGTCAGACGCCATTTAATTAATTAAGAGGTAGCAAGATGAAAGTGATGAAGAGGTTTTGTAACGTTTTTATTTCACTATATCAACTCGAGCTATACCTATACGATCCTATTTATATCCAGTCTCCGAATTTTCCTGATTTACGTATTTGATTTTATTTTTATTAAAAATTTCTTATAATAATCAATGTCATCATCTGAATTCAGCCCATGGTTGCTTAGAAAATTCAACACTTTTTGGTCTTTAACGTCACAGATTAATGACCCTTTTACAACATCTGTAAAGCGTGCTTAAATACATAATCCAAAAGTGTACCTAATCGACCGATTGATACTCTTTACTTCGTTTGATTTATTTTTGGTTAGTATGGATTAATATATCATATTATCTAAACTATTATTTTCCATAACCCGAGATCTTCTTGAGGATCTCTAAAATTTAGAAACAGCCCCCTTCTTATCACAAGCCAAAGTTGGTCCCATATGCATTGCTTGTTGGAAGGAATTCAGTGGTTATATGAAGATATCCCTCAAATAGTATAAACACCTATGCATTTAGTCAAAAAGACCTATGCATTTTTCTAGTGTTTTCTACAATCAATATTATAAAAACGATTTCACTGAATAATTAGTTATGATTTCATACACTTTCAAAATTTTATGGGACAAAAATGAAAGATAGGAAAATATATCTTTAAGATTTACAAATACTCCTCTCACACACACACAAACCGTTTGGAAAATCATAAATGTAGTTGAAAATTTAATGAAATAGTTACATCTAAGCAAGTGTATCTATTTGTTTGGCCAATTTTGCATCAAATAAAGTATGTGGTGTGAACAAATGGTAGATATCATTCTCATTATTAATTACACAATTAATGTTAAGAGAGTTAGTGGTGCCGGCAGGGATGGTCGTATGTGGCCTACACTTTTCTCTGTCACTCCTCTCCCAAAGTTTATTCATGTGGATCCTCATTTTTTGTATTTAATTGATTTTATTTGTTTTCACTATTCATTCCCTAACGAAATTATTCATTTAACTAATACCTATTCTCTTATTTAAACTTATGCGTTTTTAATGATTTTTTTTATCGAATCATGAACAAACGTGTATACCAGACTGGGCCCATAAGATATTTACGTCTTCTTATAAACTAACAGGTAATTTTTTTTAATTATATTGGTCACTTTCTAATTAAAATATAATTACGACAGTGATATATTTCTAAATTATCAGTAGGATGTGGATTTATTTGATGGTGGCTCGTAGCTCAAACTGAGAAGCAAACCTACCGTAGGATCGTTTTACCAATCACTTTGACTTTAGTCTTTAAATAGCATGTTAATTAGATAGCAATTAGTAACGATAATTAACAGGCCCGGCCCAAAATGATTCATAACTAAGCCCAATATCTTTAGGCTTTGAAGATCAATGTACAAAAGTGGATGCAGTTGTTGTTACATGCAGAGAAGCTTATGATTTATAAAACTTTACATTTGACCAGTCACTTTGAAAATGGGACTTGAGTTTACATTAGATAGCAAATAGTAGCCCGATCATTAATGGGATTGTCCAATATGATTCATGATAAATAAGCCCAATGATATACAAAGGTCGTCCATATATAAAGAGTGGATGCAGCTGTTGTTACTTCAACTAGTTGATAGGTTGAAGAACTACTGGTAAACCGTACTGTGGCTGAAGAGTGAGGTGATCTGCTGGGGCGTGCTTATACTCGTCAGCGAGATTAAGCTGGTAACGCTGAAGAATCATGGTGAGAACGGTCTTAGCTTCAATCAGGGCAAAGTTTTGGCCAATGCAAACTCTAGGTCCTATTGAAAACGCAAGAAATGCATTTGGGTGATTAGCAGCTCGAGACACGCCGTTTTCGAATCGCATAGGATTGAATTTATCACCGTCCTTTCCCCAAACGGCTTTGTCTCTATGCATCTTCACAATGGGGAGGACTATGGTTGTGCCTTTAGGGATCTCTATGTTTCCTAGCTTCATGTCTTCTGATGCTGACCGGATCATGTTCAACACTGGTCCGTATAGACGAAGTGTTTCCATCAGCACCATGTTCATCTGTAATTAGGTTAAAATTACTAGGTGCCTTCTCCCACAAGAAACACATTATTAAGAAATAAAATGTTTGAAATTTGCATTTAATTACCAGCTTGAGTTTGGAGCAGTTGTCTGAATCTGGTATGTTTTCTTTACCGCATTCAGTTAAAACCTCTTCTCTGAGCTTCTCCTGCCAGTCTTGGTGCAAGCTAAGCAGCATTGTAGTCCATGTTAATAGATTCGCAGTGGTCTCGTGTCCTGCGAAGAAGAACGTTTTGCATTCTTCTATGATCTCATCAATGCTCAATTTTTTCTCAGATTCGTTCGATCTTGCAGATGCTAACATGATTCCAAGAAGATCATTTCCATAACCTTTCTCTATGTTCTTGGATTTTGATTTTATCCTCGCATCTATGATTCGTTTGATGGAGTTGTTTATTTTCTTATCAAGCTTCCATATTTTAAGATTCAAAGGCGTAGGAACGTACCTTGCAACACAAGTAACAAAACGAATCTTGAAAATCCTATAATTAATCAATAAAGAAGTTAAGAGTAAAAGAGTGAGATTATACACTTACTCGGTTCCAGGGATATAGACATTAGTAACAGAAGCAGCACAACACTTTTGAAGCTCCCTTTGTGATTTAAACACTTCAATTCCTTCAGCATAACTGCTTCCAAACGCAGCAGTCGCTATAATATCAGCTGTTAATCTCTTAAACTCTACGTTCATCATCACCACTTGCTTTTTTTCATTTTCATTCCTTTGTTTTCTCCACTCCTCGAACATCCTCAAAGTACAATCCACCATTAATTTGGTCATAAGCTGATCAGTAGTTTGAAGAAATTACAAAAAAAAAAAAAAAAAAATTAGCAAAATATCTATCAATCTATATATAGTCAATAATAAAATAAGGGACAAGTTTGTTAAAATAAAAGACCTTTAGTTTGTCCATGGAGAAGGCAGGATTTAAGATCCGTCTATGACGAACCCAATCAAGACCATCGGCAAAGACAAGTCCATTACCAGCAAGTTTAAGGACTTCGGGTCTTGTCTTTGGTTTAACATAGAAACCAAACTTGTTTGATAAAATCTGTTTGACAAGTTCATGATCTGAGATGAATATCCTCGGCTCTGTTCCTTGCCAGTAAAGAAACGTCTCTCCTAATAAAAAAAAATATTACCATTGGTAAACTTGTGAGTTACGCATCATTAGAAGAGATAGAGAGAAAGATATATGGAAACGGTACCGTATTGGGACATCCATTGGTGAAAATGAGGTAAAACGCGAGGGAAGATGTCGTTGGAGTTTGGATCAAGAACCGTAAGCTTAGCTTCTTGCTTCAACTTCCTTATCTCTCGGAGGTTTCCATGCAGGATCTTGTATTTTGGGCCAGAGATTCCTTGTTTCTTGAATTTTCTTGATAGGATCAATGGCCGCCAAACAAGGATCCAACAAGATTTGTATATCTTAGGAACTACGAAAAGCAGAAGAGCTAGTGCTAAGAGAGTGGTCGTGCTCAAGAGCTCCATCGAAAGAACAAACAAACAAAAAAAGAAAGTTTATATTTATTAATATGAGTGCCCAAGTTTGGTTTTGGTGTGTTCAAGTGTTTTTGTGTGTGTTGGAAGGTCAGTGGTTTGTGTGTGTTCTGATGAGCACAAACACTTGTATTTATTTACGTTACGAAAATCTAACTCATCTCGTGAGAACTTGACACGTATGAATATGTTGTGATAACTTGGCCATCTGAAAATAAAATATTTTTGGCACTTTGGAGACATAATTTATAACAAAAAGGATGTGGTTTTCACGTATTTTTTTTTTAAACATAAGTCTTATAAAATAATATCTTATTTACGAAAGAAAAAAGGTTTTTATTCTGGCTGGGTAGTGGATGAAATAGATATGAGGTCACTGCTTATGCAATAATCTTATCTTCTCGAAGCTTACAAGTAAGAAACAGAGTTACATATGTTGCTTTATATGACACATGCAGAGAATCTTTAGATTTATAAAGACGTCGCCCTCTCCAAAGGACAACGATGTTTAATATAAACAAATATAAACACACTAAACAACCGATCCAGACTTCTTTTTTTGCTTGTTGGTTGGCACGAATTTTGGTATTTTGCTATTTTATGTAGTAAAATTGATAAAGACTTTGATTATTTGAAACAGTTATTGATGTGTAGTAGAACCTAACTGTTTTGGATTTGCTACAAAAGTAGTAAAATTCCCTTGATTTTTTGATAGGCCTGCGACTTAAACCCGGAACCGATTAACCGAACCGGAATCGACCCGATTTTGACCGGTTCGGATCGGTTTCGGTACAGCCAATTATAACCGACGGGTAGTGATTAAAAAAACCATGGGTAACGGGTCGGATCCGGGTTTTACCCGATTTTTTTCGGATACCCGACATAACCCGAATCAAGTAGGTTCCTTTATGNTTTGATAATTGATAGTCTTAGATTCTTACTTCTTAGACTTAGGAAAGTATGATTTACTTATTCTAATTGGTCTTAGTTCTTATCGTATGTAGATGGATTCTTCTCCAACTCATCAACAGGACGAATTTAATCATCAACCAATGGATGAAGATTTTGTTTCAGAAGAAGATGTACAAACACCAGATTCAGGCAAAAGAAATGAGAGAGATGAAGCTGGTGGTTCTGGTTCTGGTTCTGGTTCAAGGAAGAAGACAAGGTCTCTTGTTTGGAATCACTTCAACAGACTACCAAATGACTACAACAAATGTAAATGCCGCTACTGTAAGAGGGAGATGAGCTGTCCAACATCGTCTGGGACCTCTAATCTGAATAAGCATATCAATGCTTGTAGGTCATACATGGCATGGAAGGCTGAAAATGCATCTAAAGACCAGTCACAGTTAACTCCTAATGAAGAAGGTAACTTGAGTTTGTGTAAGGTGGATGACAAGGTATTCAAAGATGCTACCAATGAGATGATTGTCTTAGCTGAGTTGCCTTTTGCTTTTGTGGAAAGCTTAGCATGGAAACACTTCTGCAATAAAGTGAAGTTGAATCCGCCTGTCTGTAGGAAAACATGCACCAAGGAGATTGTGGCTTTGTATGCTACGAGGAAAGCAGAAATGAAGAAAGTTCTTGGACAGAACAATCAAAGGCTCTCTCTCACAACAGATATATGGACTGCTCCCTACACTGCGGTTAGTTACATGGTCATTACTGCTCATTTTATTGATTCAAGTTGGAAGCTTAGGAAGATAGTGATCGGTTTCAAGAATGTGGATGATCATAAAGGGTCTACAATTGCGAGAGTCCTTGTAGATTGTTTGGCAGATTGGGATATAAAAAGAGTCTTCTGCATCACAGTTGATAATGCTACAGCTAACACATCAGCCATGAATAAGTTCAAGGAGGAATTCATGAAACAAGGTGAAGATGCACTGGTTTTAAGTGGTGAGTTCTTGCATGTGAGGTGTGCAACACATGTTCTGAACCTGGTTGTCAGGGAAGGATTAAATGAGGTGGATGATAGCTTGAATGCCATTCGGAATGGTATTCAGTATGTGAGGTCTTCCACCAATAGGCTCAAGTCTTTCGAGTTTCGGGTTGATACGGGGAAGATGACCAGAGGAAGCCTTCCATTAGATGTCAAGACAAGATGGAACTCGACGTATCTCATGCTAGACCANGAAGGATTAAATGAGGTGGATGATAGCTTGAATGCCATTCGGAATGGTATTCAGTATGTGAGGTCTTCCACCAATAGGCTCAAGTCTTTCGAGTTTCGGGTTGATACGGGGAAGATGACCAGAGGAAGCCTTCCATTAGATGTCAAGACAAGATGGAACTCGACGTATCTCATGCTAGACCAAGCAATCAAGTTCAGAGGAAGTATTGGAATCCATTGGCGGATGGAACTGAGTCTGAGAATGGTAAGTCTAAGAGCTGTAAGATGAATAAGTTGTTGATTGTTGCTACGGTTTTTGATCCAACAAAGAAGATGCACTTCGCCAACCTTTGTTTTGAGAAGCTTTATGGAAAAGAAAGCATCGAGTATAATCTTCTTTCAGACTCAGTTATGGAGATCTTGAAGCGTTTATATGATGATTACAGTCTTTCAAGTGGTGGAGGTGGAGGTTCAAGTGGTTCTCAGTCGCAAGGAGGATCAAGTGGAGGTGGAGGTTCAAGTGGTTCTCAAGAGAGTGGTGCAGTTTTCCAGAGTCGAGTTATTGTTAATGGTATTGGATATGAAAGGATGGATAATCTCTACGAGGAGCTTGTGCAAGAAACAGGTACACAAGATTCTAGTGATGAGTTGGAAGTGTATTTGAGTGAGAAGGTAGAGGTTACAAAAGGTGTTACTGGACTTGGAGCCGAGTTTGATGTTTTGTCATGGTGGAGAAGAAACAATGTGAAGTTCCCAGTCTTATCTAAGATAGCTGCTGATATCCTTGCGGTTCAAGCATCATCTGTAGCATCAGAAAGTGCATTTAGCACTAGTGGGAGAATCTTAGATCCATATAGAAGCTGCTTGACACATTTTATGGTCGAGGTGTTGGTGTGCACAGAACAATGGTTGAAATCCGAGACTCATATAAATTCAAGAGCCATTCACACAATAGAGCAGCTACTTTCAGATGTGGAGCAACAAGATGATCTTCTGAGAGGTATGATTCACCACTTTTAAACTCTTTACAATGTGATATGGTTGCTTGGAGTTTAAAATTAGAACACTTATAGGATTCTGTTTTTTTTGGTTATTAGCGTTTGAAGCTGGAACCAGCCTTGAATAAGAAGTGGAGACTGTGGAGTGTGGACCTGTGGTGTGGAGACTATGGAGTGTGGACGACTGGGAGTTGATGTGTTCTTTGTTTAAGGCTTTAAGCTTTGTGTTCTTTTCTTTATGTTTCTTGCTTAAGACTTCTTTCCTTTATGTTNTGTTTCAGGTACATTACTGAATAGTGAATACTGATTGATGATGTTAATGTTAATGTTTCAGATAGGATTTAAGTTGCAGGATTACAATTTACAAAGCTTGTTTCTGGTTCTGGTTAGTACCCATTGATGATTTCGGGTAGTAAATAACCGAACCGGTTAGTATCCATTGATGATTTCGAGTAGTAAATAACCGAACCGGTTTAGTACCCAATTTTTTCGGATTGAATATGGTTACATTTATTAAAAAACCGAACCGACCCGGAACCGGTGGGAACCGGTCCGAAACCGAACCGTAATTCTGTAAGTAACCATTGGGTACAATTTCTTAATAACCGAACTACCCGGAACCGAATGAAACCGACCCGGAACCGACCCGAATACCCGAAGTCCCATGCCTATTTTTTGACATACTTTTGAGTTAAAAGTGTATTAAAAGAAGTTTTGCTATTTCAGTTAATGTATCTTTTGTCTAAAAAGTTTTCTTTCCACGCATCAATTGTCGATTGCTAATAGTTTCAAATTGCTTTCTTATTCATGATAAGAACAAATACGAAAGCACTATAGTTTTCAAATATCTATGTTAATGCCAATAGTCGTGCTTCTCCTCAATTAGCAGTATAAAGTAAGCACACACATCACTACTAAACTGGCGTAACGCACATGTAGATTAATAATCCCACAAAGGCTTACATATATTGTATGATGATAGAGTAGATTCTGAATGTGTCTATGGCATAGATGATTACGTAATAATACAATTAGAAAAAGCCGTGGAGTCTTCCATTTGTGTGTTACTTTGCTTTGCTTCATATTTTTCCTAAAGTAGTTGAAAGTTTTGCTATTCTAAAAGAATTGGTTAAGTTCGGACTTAACCCATTCACTTTCTTTAAGTAAGTATCATGTTAACTTTTGAAAGAAGAGTCATCGTTTTTGAAGAAAGAATCTTCATATTAACTTCAAACGCATTGGAGAATATACAGTGAATATACTACCAGCCGTTAATAATATAAGAAATTCTATGTCCATGTGAGACGTGTTGAGTCCATCTTCATCACTTCACTCCGCTGTTTTTCGCGTTTATAATTCTTAATAAAGAATATTAAGTCCACTAAAAAGCCCATCAAGCCCAATGTTCTCGAAACTGTTTAATTTCATTACAATTGGGAAAAAATCCCTATGGGGGGAATTAGGAAAGCTTAGAAACCCTAATTTACTATTTACTAATCAGACCAGCCGTACGTAATTACTGTAATACGAGAATATACATTCATGCTCTGTTTTCACTTATTATGCAATTCATTTTTGTTATTATTTATGCAAATGCACATCCTCTAATTGAGACTGTTATACACTCTATGATTCACGTTATAACTTATAGTTGAACACTGTACATCCACTTTGAAAATAGTAGATATCACCATCAACTATCAACAAATCTTTAAGTTCAGCGAACAATAAAAAAAATGATTAATAACCATTGCTTCCTCTAAACTGCATAGCATCTTCGAAGTTCGAGGTCGAGGCAGACATTGGAAACTGACTAAAGGAAGTAGTTTGAGTCTCAGGCAAATATGAAGGAACGACCAGTTGCTGGGAGCAGCTTTCTAATGGAGAAAACATGGGAGAATTTGGGATTACTCCTGAGGGATGATTATAAAAGGCATTTAGCATTTGTGATGATGCATTGTTAATCCCATGAAAACCGGTTCCTTGAACATTCATAGGCATAAATTGTGGTACTGGTGTTGTTGCTGCTGCGCCCATATGCATTCCTAGACCCATGGGAGAGTAATTACCCATTGGTAGCATCATAGATGGTTGTAGTAATCCATTTCCCATTCTCATCATCTGTAAACGATTATTAAAACATGTTAAGAAACTAATATGTATAAAAATTGTAGCAAAATTTATAAGGGATATAGTTTTGATTGTTCATTAATATTTATGTTTATACTTTAAATGATACTACTAGCTCTTAATGATTTTATTGATAAATCATTTTAAAATCGTAGAAGTAAAAGACAAACACACAAAAAAAAAAGATTAAAAAATTTATAGTATTAAATTAGTTTTCTTAGAAATGAAAGTCCATGAGAGAGCATCATTTTGGCTCTAAAGTTTTTTTTATTTTATTATTTTTTAATTAAAAATCAACCAATCGCGGATCGCCACGTATCAATGAGGCTAGCAAAAAACACAAGAGTTGGCTTTTGCATAAGAGATTTAAGAGTTGGGTTTCATAAAAACTGTGGAATCCACCTCTTAAGAACCCACTTAATAGCTGGGGTTAATGGTGCTCTGAGATGTTTCTGAATTGATGTATTATTTTGATTACCTGAACTTGAAGTTGAAGTGTCCTCATATATTTGATAGCCTCATCCAACAATGATACCTTGTCATCCTATAAAAAAAATAAAACATATATTCAGAAATTTCCACCAAGAAAAGATTAACTATCATCTAATTAAGTAACTATATAATGTAACTTAAAGTTAATCTCAAACCTTGTAACAGTTAGGTAGTAGATCCTGCAAAGCACGCATTTTCTTGCTGATCTCGTGTCTTCTCTTCTGTTTTACATATTATTGCCATTAGTCTCATTTCATTTTCATTCATACATTTACTTATGTTAAGGTGAGATCTCTTGAGATTATAGTGTATATAAAGTTATAGACTCACTCTTTCAGATAACTTATGGACTTCTGTGCTTCGTTTTCTCTTAGCTACAGTCTTTCTTGTTCTCGCAGGAACTCGTGTTTTAGCATCATCTGATTCATCATCCGAACTCTGCATAACAAGAGAAAAAAAAAATGAGGATTCACAATAGAAAATAATTAAGACAAAACTAAATGAACCATCCACTTAATCTTACATTACTTAGATAGGTTGTTTCTTCTTCTTCTTCATTGTCTCCACACTTCCTCTTCTTTAAAGAACAACTTAGATCTCTAGAAGTTCCTCGAGAAAGCATAGATGAAGGCCTAAAATACAATTTTGTGGATCTTCCAACAGCTTCAGATTGCGCATCTGGAGGAGCTGTGATGACTTCAACATTCTTTAAACCTTTCAAAGAATAATCATTCAACGTTGGTGCCTCAAAACGTTTGTTGCCTTTCAAAAGATCTCTCTCTGATTCATTCTTGGAGGACTTAGTCCTCTTTTTTTTATTGGTTTGTTCGTCACTCACAGGAACAACTTGTGTCTCTTCAAGATTCTTGATGTTTTTCTTGAAACTCTCATCGTACTCGGTCTCATACAAATCCAATATCGATTGCGTACGTTGATTCTGAAAATAGCCCTTGTTGTTGGTTTTTCGACTCTTTGCAAGAATCTTCCCATTTTCGCAAACCAGCTCCATATAATCTTGATCGTTTAATCTGCGAAAAAAAGAGTCACGTATATACAAACATCAACACTTATATTTACAATTGTATATATCATATATGCATATATATAAATCTTAAAAGAGTTTTAGATGAAAGAAAAAGAAATTTACGTTGGTTTAAAGCTCGATGTAGGAGAAATCATGTTTGGTTGGGATGATGATGCACATAGATTTTTTTCCATTGAAGTAAATTGAATAAAGCCTTTGTTTTTTTTTTGGTATTTACGAATTGCAGAATGGGAGATTTGGAATTCACACTTTCTTGAAGAGGTGCGCATATATATATATACACTACATTCCGTACTTGCAACCCTTTTTGTAAATTCTATTTTTATTAAAATAAAAAGAAGCATTTATTATTATTATTTTTCGCCAAGTATTTGAATTTCATTTAAATAATACCGGTCTATAACAACAGATAATTCAAACTAGAAGAAGTTGCGTTATTAAAAAAAAGGAAGATAATTTAAACTAGGATTTGCCCCTTGCTATTAAGTCCGATGGATAAAGTTCAATTTACGGTATCTGCTGCAATATACTATATGTTCTAAGTGCAAAAGTTAATAATTACTATGCGTTCATAATTTTGTGTTTCGTTGTGTTTGTTAAATGAAGCTTTGTAATACTATAAAGAAAATCATAAGAAGGGCTTCGAATTTACCGAACATTTAGTACGTAGTAGAAATATCTAGTAAATAGAAGATTACGCGTATATCTCATATATAGTTATAGCTCTTGATAATATTAATATCAGCTACAGAAAAAAATTATTGGATTAACATGCAATAAGATTTATATAAGGCCAAAATGGTAATAGCGCCAGTTACGTACCTCGACCTCGTATAGTGTGGGAGAAGACAAGAATGTATGGGCGATAGTGAAAGACAAAGAAAGAGTCGGAGAGAGAGACAACCTTTATGAGTTTACCTATGACTGAACTTCTCTTCTCTACCTCTCCATTTTTCTGTGATCCAAAGTGAAAAAGTAGATAAGTATAAGGAAAGTCAAAATTTACGATGACAATTTGTTATTTTATTATTTCTCCCATTTAAAATGGCAGTAAATGTAATATGTACGGTCTTTTGTTTACTGAAGAAAAAAAGAAATTATTGTGACAGTACTGTATAAGAACATATTTTATAAGTCACAACTATGGTTATTTCTCTTATTAACATCTTATGAGTACATGTTCTGATTCAACTTTTCATAGTTTATAAAATACTGTTAGATATTTTCGTTTGTATGTCACCATAATAAGTAAAGCTCGAGAAAAAAATTACAATTCTAGATTTTTGCTTCAATGTATGAAACTCTTTTCATGATATATATAAATGTACAAATATTAATAACGGTGGACCATGCAAATATATAACGGTTGACCATAAAATCTCTCACGACGATGCTCCAACATTAATGCAATTAATATATTCCAAACATATGTTTGTTTAATCTTAGAGATTTAGGACAAAAATCACATTTATTCTACAACATGAAATCTTTATATGCAATGAAAAAAATGTCCAACATAAACTAATAAATAATTTTGGACCTAAATTCTATTTTCAAAAGATAATTAATTGTACGGACATGTATTAGTGTGGTTTAGCAAGCAGCAAATAACCATATAATTATATTAAAAAAATCTCACTCTAATTATTTTTTCACAGTTAATTTAAAATGCATCTTCAATTGCAAATAAACAAAAATAATTTATAAATTAATCAGTGACATTAGTAAGTGATAGGAAAAAAAATACCGCACCAACTTTTTAGAGACCTTTTTCTAACACTTGCTTTTTGTAACAGAGTGATATGTAGTTGTGACCAGTGAGAGAGACGAGCACACCCGTGAAAAAGGTCCACGTGAGATGGAAGAACCTTCACGCCATAAAGATTGGGCCCAGCATCTTTAGATGGGACTCACAATTTGGCTTTTTGGCCACCTTCACGTGCACTTCACGTGAAGCCTCGTGATTTATCAACCCCCTTGTGTTATTTTGTCCCCCACCTTTCAGGGCCTAAAAACTACCATCACTCTTGTCGTTTATGCGTGAAAAGAAAGATAAACTTGTCGTTTTGTGCATTTTACCTTAGACGCTGACTATTATCCTACGACCGCATTATTCCACGTCCTAAAAAACTAGAGTATATTATCTTTCATATGAAAAATGGAAATTATTTGCGATGTTGGTGAAGGTAAAAAGCTGTTTTGGTAAAAATAATCGATCAATTTACACAACTACTAGTCTAATTATTTGTGTTGAGAAAACAAAACATTACCATAAAGAAAAAACAAAGGATATTGTGATAATATAAAGTTGTCTGGGGTGGTTCTCATAATAACATCAAAGTATCGATCTCAATGCTGAAACGAGGAAGCGAATGAAAAACTACTTATCTTTTTTATTCACGTGAACTCGATGAGACCACTACACAGAATATATCACCTGGTTTTTTGTGTAAAGTTACTAAGAAAAGGGAAATCAAGACACGCGTCGTCTAATCAAATTAAAGGTATGTCTTTAAGTGGAGAATGAGCTTACGACGTGTGTGATTGATTCTGTGAGACTCACTCGGATTGGGTCAATCACACATCATCTTCAGCTGCATCATCTTTCCTCTCGACGACTAGTGTTAAACAAAGACACCAGTTAATAAGATATTCGCTTGGAGATGATGGTTTAATTATTATGATTGATTCTTAAGCACTAGTGATCGATCTTAACCGGAAAAAAATAGAACAAGTTTCTCTCTCATACATTTAGAAGAAAACACATCATCACCACCCTCGCCAAAACCTTGATCAGAAGGCCTGAAAAGGAAGGGTTTTAAAAGTCATATTCTAAAACAAACATCTCTTAGAATATATATGAACCAATGATGATTGATCTTGATCTTTATCAGTATTGAGTTGTAGACAAAATGATGGTGATTACTATTCTTTCCTGTACCTGATTATTCTTAGTATCAATTTTCTCATGCATTTTGTTCTAATACATAACATGTTTAAAAAGTGTTACAAAATGCCTAGAGAATGCTCAACTAATTCAAAATAACAAGAAAAAAGTATTATCTCGAGGGAGAATGTTAAAGATTGAAATCTGACATTAAAATTTTAAAGAAACCAACACTAATATATATAAAACTAGGGTTATATTATAAATTAGAAATCCGTGATAGAGCGGGTATGTGGCTGAGAACTGAAATATCTCTTTTTCTCGTGGAGCTTGGTCATCAAGTTTCGTCGAGAAATGATTGTATGTGTTTTTAAAAAAAAAAAACTGAATGGCTGAATCAGGTTATATCTATAGAAACTAGTGTATGCTGCATAACTGAATATATTGAATCAAATACATTTGTACAAATCCCATAACTCATGAAATGGTAATTAAAAAATGGTATCATGTTATATAAGATTGGCGTAGAATTGTGATATGCCATTAAGAGTTTACGTGACAAGGAAGAAGAAGCAGAACGTGATGGAGGGAACTAAAAGAAGTGATGAGCTGGCAAAATTCTAGTGTCGTATTAAATAGAAAGGTTGTATACGAGTCTTGAGTATATAAGACTCTATAGTTAGTTACATGAGATCATTCTGTTAGGAATCTTGAGAGGCTTGGTTCTCGTGTGTGAGAACTCAAGAATTGGCTTAGTACTCCGACTTGTGGAGTCTAAGAGAGGGTGGTTGGGCGGTTCGTAATCAATAAATACTTCTGTTCTTATCAAATTGGTGCGTGAGAGCGTTCTGGATCGAACAATCGCGACGATGACGAGAGCGACGACGTTGGAATCGCTTTCTCAGACGGTAGCGACGAATTACGCAGAGCAACAAGAATCGGCGGTGCAGTTACGAGCTTCGATGACGAGTTTGGAGGACAAATTCACCGAGCTATTCAATCTGTTGACGAAGACTCCACCGGTTCCGTCGGGGATCGACGATCTTAATCGGAGTCCGCGTAACGGCCAAGAACAGGTACGCGATTCTGATTTGGAACCTGGCCGTAGTCTTAGGTCTGAGGGGAATCGAGATAGACCTAGATTGATGGATGATCGGGATAGCTTAATTCGTCGGATTGAGTTACCGTTGTTTAACGGCGATGATGCGTATGGTTGGATTGCGTTAGCAGAAAGATACTTTAGGATTGGCGGTTACAGTGAAGCGACGAAACTCGAGTTGGTTTCTGTGAGTCTGAGTGGTGATGTGTTGAGCTGGTTCAACAGCGAGATTATGAGACAACAGTTTGTGAATTGGATGGATTTCAAACAGAGGTTGTTTGCTAGATTTAGCAAGGTGAAATTGAGAGATCCAAGTCAACCATTCTTCAATGTGCAACAAACGGGAAGTGTTGCGGAATATATTCATAAGTTTGAGGATTTATCGACTCAGGTTTCGGGGTTGACTGACACTCAGAAAGAGGGAATATTCATGAATGGATTGTCTCCAGAAATGCGGGAAGTCGTGACGATGTGTAAACCAGTTGATTTACCGGATATGATTTCAACAGCATATCAGATGGAGTCAAGTTCTCTGTTTAGCGTTGTCAAGAAGGAGTTGCAACAACGTAACAACAGCAAGGTGGCTGGACCGTCGAATGTCTCGAAGTCTTATTCTAGTTTCAACCCTCATTCTGGTTGGAAACAGAAACAGCTTTCCAAGGAGACAACTTCACAAGAAAAAAATCAGCCAGAGCAGCAGCCTGTGAAGACGAGACCAGTACTTCGTTTATCTGAAGCTCAAATTGCAGAGAAGAAAAGGTTGGGACTTTGCTTTACTTGTGATGCAAAGTGGAATCGACAACATGTGTGTCCGAATGCTGCATTACGGGTGTTGACAGTGGTTAATGGCATTGATATGGAGCTCATTGATCCAGAGAGTGTGGAAGTTGATGAGGATGATATAGTATGGGAGCCACAACTAAAGACTATCTCATTGCAGTCTTTCTATGAGATTGATTCTCCAACTACTACGAAATTGAAAGGCATCATCAAGAAACACACAATGGTGGTAATGTTGGATAGTGGAGCTACGCATAACTTCATTTCTCCAACCATGGCCGAGCAATTGAATCTGAAGGTTGAGAAAGCTAAAAGTTTGGAAATTTTGCTGGGTACGGGTGTGTCAGTTAATGGAACAGGAGTTTGCAGGGAGGTACTGATAAGTTTGCAGGGAGTTTCATTCTTAACTGACTTTATCGTTTTGGAGTTGGGAAATATTGATGTCATTCTGGGGATGTTATGGTTGAGATCATTGGGGAAATGCCAGATTGATTGGGAGAAACATGAGTATGTGTTTTGGCATTGTGGTAAGTTGGTGACGTTAACTGGTGATCCAACGCTACATAGGCCAATGAAGTCCCTGAAAATGACGCAAGCGTGTGAGGAAATTCCGGAGGAGTTATGGCCAGTCTTAGCGAAGTATGATCATACTTTTCAAAAACCAACGGAGCTTCCGCCAGTAAGGAATCATGAACATGGGATTACACTATACCCAGGTCTAGGTCCGGTGAGTGTTCGACCGTATAGATACCCCCAAGTGCATAAAGAAGTGATGGAGAAGAGTGTGTTGGAAATGCTTGCAACGGGTATCATAAGACCAAGTCATAGTCCTTACTCGAGTCCGGTTCTTTTGGTGAGGAAGAAAGATAAGAGTTGGAGGTTTTGTGTGGATTATAGGATGTTGAATAGAGCAACGGTTCCAGATAAATACCCTATCCCTATGATTGATCAACTCCTAGATGAACTCAAAGGTGCAAAGTATTTTACAAAGTTGGATTTGAGATCTGGTTACCATCAAATAAGGATGAAAGAGGAGGATGTAGAGAAAACAGCTTTCAGAACGCATGAGGGTCATTACGAATTCAGAGTGATGCCTTTTGGATTGATGAATGCTCCTGCAACATTTCAATCTTTGATGAATGCTGTCTTTCAAAGATTTTTGAGGAAGTTTGTGTTAGTATTCTTTGATGACATACTGATCTTTAGCTCCACAATGGAAGAACATGTGGCGCACGTGGAAGAGGTTCTCAAAGTGTTTGAGCAACAAAAGTTGTTTGCTAATAAAAAGAAGTGTGCTTTTGGACAACTTAAAGTGGAGTATTTGGGTCATTGTATCTCTGAGAAAGGAGTATCTACAGATCCTCATAAGGTTGAAGCAGTGGTGAAGTGGCCTACACCGAGAACGGTTAAAGATGTGCGTGGGTTTCTTGGTCTGACTGGCTATTATCGGAGGTTTGTACAGAGTTATGGAATGCTTGCTAAACCATTAACAGAGCTGTTAAAAAAAGAAAACTTTCTATGGTCTCAGGCAGCACAGTCCGCCTTTGATGATTTGAAAATGGCTATGACGACAACACCAGTGTTGGCGTTGCCTGATTTCTCGCAAGTATTCATTGTAGAATCAGACGCTTCAGGATATGGTCTGGGTGCTGTGTTGATGCAAGGGAAACATCCTATAGCGTATTTTAGTCATGCGTTGACTGATAAGGAACAACTTAAACCCATCTATGAGAGAGAGTTGATGGCGATTGTCCTTTCTATTCAAAAATGGCGGCATTATCTGTTGGGTAGGAGGTTTATTGTCAGGACTGATCAGCAAAGTCTGAAATATCTTCTAGAACAGAGAGAGGTGACCTTGGATTACCAAAGATGGTTGACGAGGATCATGGGGTACGATTTTGATATTGAATATAAAGTGGGCTCAGAGAATAAGGTTGCTGATGGGTTATCACGCATTGTCCAGTACGCAGCAGGAGAAGTGAGAGTTCGTTGCTTTGCCTTGACATTGCCATCGTCTTTACAAGCTAAGGACATTTACTCAGAGCTTGATAAGAATGACAAGATTCAGTCCTTAATTGCTAAAGTGACTCGTGGTGATACGATCAAAGAAGGATATGTGGTATTGCAGGGAAGGCTGTACTATAAAGGGTGTCTGGTCCTTCCTCCTGATTCAGCTTTCATTCCGTTAGTGTTGAGAGAATATCACGACAGCTTGCTTGGGGGACACTCAGGGATTTTGAAAACGTTGAAAAGAGTGCGTACAACATTTTATTGGAGTGGTATGAGGAAGCAGATTCAGGAGTATGTGGCTGCTTGTGAAGTGTGTCAAACACATAAATATAGTACACTTTCACCAGCTGGATTGCTGCAGCCTTTGGATATACCAAAACAGATTTGGGAAGACATCTCAATGGATTTCATTGAGGGACTTCCTTCGTCTCAAGGGGTCAATGTGATTTTTGTGGTTGTGGATAGACTGAGTAAGTACAGCCATTTCATGACTTTGAAACATCCGTTTACTGCTTCGGATGTGGCTACTAAATTCATGCACGAGATAGTCAGGTTACATGGATATCCTCGTTCTATAGTTTCTGATCGTGACAAGGTGTTTCTCAGTGGGTTTTGGAAGGATTGTTTTAAAGCATCTGGTACTCGGTTGAGATTCAGCACGGCTTTTCACCCACAGTCGGATGGTCAAACTGAGGTTCTCAACAGGTGTTTGGAAACGTACTTACGTTGCTTTGCATCATCACACCCAAAGACGTGGGCTAAGTTCTTGATGTGGGCTGAGTTGTGGTATAATACCTCCTTCCATACAGCGATTCAATGCACGCCGTTCAAAATGGTTTATGGTCGAGATCCACCGTCGTTGTTACGTTTTGAAGAAGGTTCAACTAACAACTTTGAGCTTGAGAAGATGTTAAAGGAGAGAGATGTGTTGTTGGAAGATGTGAAACAACATTTATTACGAGCACAGGAGGTCATGAAGAATAATGCAGATAAACGAAGGAGAGATTTGGTTTTCGAGGTGGGACAGTTGGTGTATTTGAAATTGAGACCGTATAGACAACAGAGTGTTAGTAGGCGTTTGTGTCAGAAGTTGGCAGCTCGTTACTACGGTCCGTATGAGATTTTGGAGAGGATTGGTCAGGTGGCGTATAGATTACGTCTTCCGGAAGAGTCAAGGGTGCATCCAGTGTTTCATGTGTCACAGTTGAAGCCGGTGATTGGTCAGGGAAAGACAGTGCTGCCACTTCCGCCCATCTTGTCTAACGAGGAAGAATTGGTGGTGGAACCTCAGGATTTGTTGGAGACACGTTATTCGGAAGACGGTCATTTGGAGGTCTTGGTTGCTTGGAAGAATTTACCGGCTCACGACAATTCTTGGATGCGTTTAAAGGATTTGAAACAGCAATTTCCGAGTTTTGCGCTTGAGGACAAGCTCGTTCTTCAAACCGGGGGTATTGATATGCCATTAAGAGTTTACGTGACAAGGAAGAAGAAGCAGAACGTGATGGAGGGAACTAAAAGAAGTGATGAGCTGGCAAAATTCTAGTGTCGTATTAAATAGAAAGGTTGTATACGAGTCTTGAGTATATAAGACTCTATAGTTAGTTACAGGAGATCATTCTGTTAGGAATCTTGAGAGGCTTGGTTCTCGTGTGTGAGAACTCAAGAATTGGCTTAGTACTCCGACTTCTGGAGTCTAAGAGAGGGTGGTTGGGCGGTTCGTAATCAATAAATACTTCTGTTCTTATCAAATTGGCCCTTGGAATAGCCAGCCAGTACGTAGAGTGATAATTTATGAATTTATGCATACATTTATTCTAACAGATCAGGTCACAATATTTCTACAAGATTACGTATAAGATATGGTCGTTCGGGAATCTTCGAAACCATATGTTGTAAGATGTTTTTGTTTTGTTTTATTGTGTCTTGAGTCTTGTGTGAGATAGTAAAAATAGTTTGTGGAATAGACGAAGAGCATAATAGCCTAATTAGGCAGTAGCACATGATTTGGAACCAAACTACTGTGAATCAAATATTATTCAGTATTAGTAGTCACTAAAATAGGGGATTAATTAAAGACACACATCAGTCCTCGTAAATGGAAACCTTGCGCAATTTCAGAATGGCTAGTTTCTTGGAGGTTTTGACCGCATCATCAACTCGTCCAGCACGAACATAACCATTGACCATGGATCTGAATGTAGACACATGAGGAGGAGGAGACAAGTCTTTGTCTGAACACATGTCCTCAAACAAACCTTCAGCCTCCGACATCATCCCGCGCTCGCAAAGCCTAGCGATCACGTTACTATAACACCGAACCATTCTTTTGCTTCCCTGTTGTGACTCGTTGAATGTCTCCATGGCCTTGTTAAACTCGCCAATCTCAAACCAGTAGTCCACCATTATATTAACGGTCTCTGAATCAAAACGTTTGTGTTTTTTCAACATGGTGTGGAACAAGTCCTTAGCCTTTACTTCGAACAAGGCCCCAGCCTCAACTTCCTTGCCATGTGCTAGCAAAAGCCTCAAAAGAGTGTTCCCAGTGGTGGCAGGCAAGCTTTCCCAAGTACGGATAGAGCTATAGCACTCCATAGCTTTCTCTTCACTGCCATGTTTGAACCAGTACTCCACAAATATTGTAGCAATCGATTTGAAAACTTCCGCCGAATCATCATCATCGTATTCCAGCCTATTCTTGTGGAAGTAATCACCAGCATCTTCAGCATTCATCTGATCCAAGCGCCCACGAATCTCAATGAGCATGGGCGTCCAATCAATAGCTAAGCATCTACTTAATCCCACGAATATTCCAGCTTCCCGGTAGCCATATGCGTCAACCAAGGCTTGAGTCAAAACACTGAATGTCTCTTTGTCTGCACCGAACCGAGCAGCGTGACGGTAGAGTTGAAGGGCGTCGTCGACACGGCCTAGCTCACAAAAGGCTTTGATCACGTGGTTGAAGGAGACGATGTTAGGGACCATGTTATTCTCGTTGAAGAAGTAATGAAACAGAGCGATGCCTTCTTCGTAACGTTTCCCTTGGCACATGGCCCCGATGACGGCGTTGCATATAAGGATGGTGTCGTGGTGACGACGAACATCTTTCAAGACAGAGAGGCGAGCCAACTCAACGGCTCCGTCAACATCTGAAAGCTCAATCATCGTCAAAACTCTGAATAGCAGAGAAACGGGACGCATCATTACGTGATCCGCAGGGTTTACATCCTCCAACGTGGGTTTCGGGTTCCTGGGAAGCCAGGAGAGGTCTTTTCCAAGTGGGTAGCGAGCCAAGGTGGCTGAGGCGACGCAGGTGGACATGTAACGACGATTTGTGAATTGTGGAGACCTTGAGAGGCGAACCAGAAGGTTAATACGGCGGCCTAAGGACATCTCTCTAATAAATTCAGAGGTATCGTTTTCTGATAAATTGTGTGTGTTTGTATGCTACTTTATACATAGGGACGATTAGAGTCCTAGGGTTTATGTATTATGTATATCGAAAATTACATTATATTTATCTCTCTTTTTTATTTTTGTCAATACATTATATTTATCTCTAAGATATGTCCTTATCTTTTATAGATAGATTTGATTTATAAACATTTGCTATTTCAATAACTAGGTAAGGAACCCGTGCGATACTTGTCATCCTATGCTTAATTTTTTGTCACAAATTAAATATCGTTTTAGAGTTTCGAGTAAAAATTTATTAGTTTTATATAAAATTCTATTTAAATGTGTATATAATTGTATTTTTATCTTGAAAATATATAAAATTAAATGTTTTTTAATCTGTATGCAAAAATATAGAAATGACAACTAAAATGAAATGGAGGGAATAATATATTAAGTTATGTACATATATATATATATATGTGTGTGTGTGATTTATAACTCAAATCAATCAATATAGTAACTTCAATTAATGTTAATGTCTGGATCGAAGTGCAAATAATCTACGAAAGGATTGATACCGACAAGTGAAACCAAAAGGATACGAAGGCGGTTCAGCTCCGGTTTTGTCATACTTTGTTATTTCGTACTCTGTTTTTCTCTATGCAAA